CACTGCTCTGCATCAAATGCCAGCAGAAAACAAACTTGGTCACTTTGGGCTGAGCTGCAGTTTTAAAATTACATACAGATGGGCAAGGCAATGACGTCAAAGTCTTCAGTCAGAAAAAGCCACCTGATTTTCCACAGGATAACCAGTGAGAATAATTTTGATTTCAACCCAAGTCAGCTGCCACATTATAGTTCTCTACTATGAGATCTTTGCTAGGTGGCATGACTTAAGGGGAAACCACACTTCCAAGATTTCTTCCTTCATTTTCTCAGTAATATTGAAGCTGATGTTAATTCCTTGAAACACTCATTTTCCTTTCCTGCAAGTTTGCTTTTCTTTCTTCCCAGATATCTTTTCTGTATTGATATGTGAGTTCCGTCAAAAGAAACTTACACAAAATGATGTAAAAGATAAAATGCTTGGATGCCAGGAACATCATATTGTGAAATCAAGACCTCAGCTGTCATGTGAAAGCTGTAGAAAGGTGCATTGCTTTGTGTTTCATAGTTTTCTTCCACCAACACCTTCAACAGACCGTTCACATCTAGAAACCATCTGACAAATCAAGACACAGCCACATGGAACCAGCTGCTTTTTCGTGCATTTTTCATTCAGGTATAGGCTGCAGTTGGAATAATGCAGACAGGATCCCGATACCAAATGTGGAAATTCATACTTCTGATGAGATTTATGTGACTACACCCCTCCGTGAGAGGCAGTTCACCTCTACAGTACCAGAACAAAAAACCTAATTGGACCAGATATTATTGCATGAAGATGCAATAACAACTAAGGTTAGTTTTCAAGAATAACTGATGGGCTTGGCATTTGAATGACATGGTATTTACCGAGGAATCTCATACCATGTGTATTTCACAGGAGTCTGATAAGCCTGTCTTCACAAATCACTTTTTTCTTGGCTGTGAAATAGGCAAATAATCCCATTCACTCTTTCACTGAAAAAATATATAGAAGCAGCTTTCCAGAAAAGTAACAGCATGAAAATCTTTCTTATATTGCACACAATTTCTCATTTTTATAGCTGCTGATGGAGTATGATGAGCTCAAATAGGATTTTTCTTGTAACTATTTTGGCTTGAATACAAGATCAAGGTAATGAGATTAGGAAATTCTATTTTAATAGGTGCTAGTAAAACACAAGATAAGGAGGAAAAACCCCTCTTCAGTTTTACTGTACAACACCAGATGTCTCCCTCCTCCTTTTATCATAGATATTGAAACTTTCTCTGCTATCTCAAGCCTTTTCTACTAGAAAAATCCAAGTGAATTAGTAGCAGTCCCAAAAGAGGAGGAAAAGACAACCAGAAACACAGAAGGTACAAGATTTGATGCTGCTGATGCTACATACAGCATTTAAGGAACACAATTTATGGTGCAAGAGACCAAAGTAAACTGGCTTAACACAAATTATAGCCTGTTCATTTATACCAAAGACTGGGTAATAGAGACTTGGTAGCCTCCTATGACAGCACAGCTGTAAATTAATACTTAGAAAAGAAATGGTTAGAAAACCTTGTGTAGAGGAAAAAATAACCTTTTATTAGGGTACAGCACAGAATGAGAGAGATTTGGTCCTGTTTCTTGAAGTCTTTTTGGATTACTCTCAGGCAATTAGTCAGCTGATATATCTTGTTTTCACACCTTCAGATAACTCAACATTTACTTTCTCCTTTTCTCAAACAACTAGTAATTCTCCACTACTTCTTCCCTGGCTCTGAAAGCCCTCACTCCTCATCTTAGCTATGCAGTTCCCTCAAAGTGCACTTGGTTGTTGTATCTGTTTACAACTTAGTGCAAGTCTCCCTAGAAATATCTTAAAATATTTTCAAACCTTAGTCCTCATTCCCAAGAAAAAGTGTACTCACTAGTTAACGTAACTGTAGCAGTGGTTCAGGCTAAGTATAAAAACGAGCAGCAGCAGTCAGTCCTCCTGCCACCCCAGACGCACGTGGTGAGCCATAGCTTCTGAGCTCTCCATAAAGGTCACCCACGTGCTGCTGGTTACTGCAGAATGATCTTAGCACCTTCTCTCCCTCACACACAAAGACAACCTCCGGGAGCTCGCTGCTTTGGGACTGCAGAGCCACTAATGGTACAAAATGACCACGTCTGCAAAGGTGCATTCAACTGCCAGGTTAAACACTTTGTCTTTATTTCTTCCAGCTTTTACAGGCAAAAGATCCTCTCTAACTTCTTCCGGTTCTGGAAGTACTCAGTCTGATTGTCCTCCTATACTAAAGGGGTTTTGTTCATGCCCATTACCTCTCGGTTAACTGCAGTTGAAATCAGGAGAGTTCTTAGGATATCGGGTCACAATCTGAACGGGGTAGTTGAGTGTGAGCCTTAGCTGATTTCACTTTATTTAACAAATCATCAGAATAAAAATACCCTCCACCTCAGTGCATAAAGAATAAAACTTTGTTTGAGACCTCTCTGTGAAAAGAAATGTTCTTTGTCAGCAAAATTAACTGGCAGAAGCTGAATGCCATATTACAGCGCATGCAGAGCTTTCCCATGCAATCCTGGAGAGAAGCGCTTGAAGCAAACAAGTCCTATTCAGTGTATTCAGGGCATATCACAATAGTACAGAGCTGCAAACCATCGAATATCTCAACTCACAATCAGTCATGAATACTGTATCCATCTTCCCTTGTTCACCATTATCCAGAAAATCTCATAGACATGATTTATTGTCAGCTATGCTTTTTTCTTCAGCATTTGGGCATGAATAACATGTGAAAACTCACCCAACCATATGTGTACTCCTCCACTGAATGGTGTTCACAAGACAGAGGTCTCGGAAGTTCTTCTGGGCTCTGCTTCTAGTACCAGCTGAGACCTTTTACCTTGGACACATCACTTAAAAACTTAAGGAAACAAGATTTGTGAGGTGCCTTCAATGTGCACCTAATAAAAGCACTGATGCAATGAAGCTCCAACTACCGATTCCAGTGAGTGTGAGTTGGACACTGTGAAGTAGTAATGCAGCAACAGAAATAAAGGCAAAAAATACAGGAAGGAAAAAGTCTCACACTTACGTCTCGATTGCATGTCTAATGACAAGCGTAATCTAGGATATATAAATATACAGAAATATAAAGAAAAAAGCTAATTACAAGAAGCCTTATTTTTACTTACCAGGTTAACACTGTTTTCTCTGTTCTCCAATCTTGTAAATTGGGAATATTTTTCTTTCTTCTTTTTTGACTTCACCCTATCTTGATCTTTTAAAGCCCTATTTTCATCCAAAAGCTCTACCACTTTCTCCTGTAGTTTGATTTCAGATAATTTCAGATTATAAATATGATGGCTAGATTCTTCCAATTTTCTTCTGAGCAAGTCTTCCATGTCCTGGGAATACCGGAGTTCAGTCTGCAGGTCCATCTGTTGTCTTCTGTTGTCCTCCTCTTTCTCCCTTAAGAACTTCAGATATTGCTGAAATGTCTCAAGGTGGCTTTTCATGTCATGCTCCACATTTTCTATGCAAGTTTTCAATTCCATTACTTTCACATCAGAGCATCTATAGCCCTGAGTCCCACTGAATGCTGATTCCAGCTTCTGTTGGAGATACTGCACCATTCCCTCTTCCAACTTGGATGTCAAAAGAGCAACATGGGCACTGAGATCTAGGACTTGCTTTTCCAGCCTAGATATCTCACGCCGAAGGTAATGTTCCCTTTCTCTCAGCACTGCTGTCTGTTGTGTCTGCCTTTGTTTGTAGTGCTCAAAATACACTGACTGGCTTTTTATTTCATCTTCTTTTGTCTTCAGCTGCTCCTGAAGCCAATGTAATTTTTCCTTTTGCTTCTTCTTTGACTTTTCTTGGTTTTCAACCTACAATTTCAGTGAGTTGTACGGTTAACATCTTAATTCTAAATCTCTTCTTCCCTTAGCATTCTTCTTAATTTTGCAACAATTCTGCCCTTTTTTTCTGAAAACTCAGGAATTATGTAAGTAGAAATTTGTTAAAGCCAGTAAAATCCTGCATTTAGAGCAAAACTGACCTAATGATTTGTCTTTTCAGCCATCACTGAAACATCCCAGTAGGAAACACACAAACAAAACACAAACTCACCCACGTCTACTACTACATAAAATATAGGAAATTTTTAAACTCTTTCTTTTGCATGTTCTACAGCACATATTAAATCAAAAGAAACCTTTGAAATTGAATTAATACAACCAGGTCTGAACTATACAGTAACATATCCTTAACACTGACAGTAGCGTGACACCAAGATGCTACAGGCAGAGAAGCTGTGGTTCTATTATAGAAAACAGAACACATGGTTTCCAGAGACAAAGCTTTTGCCCTTTGCCCTCCACCATACCTGTCATCTCTGATGAACCCTCTGGAAAGGAGAAAGGAGCAGATGCCTTTTGAACGTGTTTGAGAAGGACTTTAGAATTTTCATTTGCACCAAAGTGCGTTTGAACAGAGACATACAGAGGTGAAAGATGTCAGTGGAAGACAGAGGAGGCTTTTATGATTCACATGCTGCCCTTGCCTTGAGCAGACAGAGCCACCAGTATCATAGTGCCATTGTGGCAACTTTGAAGCAAGACTGAAGGCACAGAGACATTACTGTATTCCTTCAGGCTCTTCTTTAGGTCAGTGTTTTTGATTTCCAGTATTTTTCTGTCTGAGCGGTTCGCCAGCAAGGACAGGACAGGAGGAACACTAGGCTGAAATGTTATGGAAAGTCAGTCGGTGTGGGATAATAGTTTGCTTAACTGTTGGCAATATACATATGTCTAAACTTCCTAAGTCTTAAAAAATACATTTCACTTTTAATTAAAACCGCAAAGACTATTGTTCATACTCATGAGTTGTACTGCATGGTAGTAGTGTCCTGTCAGATTATTCAAATTTGACTTCAGAAGCTGAGACAATGAAAGCGTATCTTTTGATAAACAGAATCAAAAGACATTGTTTCACTGTAGACCATCCCTGAATAATTTTCATTCCTTCTCTATTTTCATTTATCCATCCAATGAGCTGTGCAATCTAGGCAAAAATGCCCGTTGCACATGCTATCAGCCAACAGCTGACCTTTCTGATACGTAACATTTACGTGCAGAAGTACTAGCACTTGGGAGAACTGAAGACTTTCCACTGCAGAACTGACAATTTCAGACCAGACACGGTGGAGAGGGAGTTTCAAGGGCATGAAATCGGCAACGGGACGTTCTTGGCAGTGAGGGAGCAGGTCAGCTTGCCCCAGGGAAGGGCACTCTGCAGAGGAGGGCTCGCACCAGCAGGGCTCTGCAGAGTCATGGCCCACATTATCGTGCATCCCAGGAAAGAAGGCATGACCCAAATCATTCTGGGAAAGCTGGAAGAGGACACAAAGCTAAACAGGAAGCTCAAAGTGGATGCAACAGCAGGTGGGGCCCAGCTTGAAAATGTGTGACTGATTCAAGAGCCAGATGATGGGCTGAGCAGATGCATTTTGTACAGAAAGCAAGCTGTGTCAGCTGTTTTGTGCTCTTGTATCACATATGGTAGGGAACCAAAAAAATACTTTATTATGGGGCTAGAAAAATAAAAGGTCTGACCTATGGAGAAGGAGTGCGCTGAGTGGGGTCTGGGGAGAAAGAAGGGAGCACTAGCATACATCCCAGTGATTAAGGGCCCAAACAAGAGGAATGATGGCAGTGCTATCAAAAACATAAGAGGAATAGAAAGTGAGACAAGAAGATGAAAAAGTTTTTCTGATTCCTCTGGATGTAGAAAAAGAGAAAGGCTGAGATGATTTATTGCTTAAAAACAGGAGAGGTCACTGGAGAGGAGATTGACTTATAATTTATTACCACAAAGAGAAGCTAAACTAGGCCATTTGAAACAATATCCTCCTCACCAAGTTGGTCAGGTCCTCCCGAATGTCTTGCAGTTTCCCTTTAACACGCACATTTGCATTTTCAGCCTGGTGCAACTTCACATTTAGTTGATCAATCGTCACAAGAAGTGTTTTGTGTGACAGCTCCAGCTCTTTCATCCTGTGATAGTGAGAATTAAGATCTTTGCTAAGTAAATACCACACAGTATAGTTCCAAATGGATAAGCAGTCATCAGCAATGCATCAATTTATCTTTATTTTTCCATTTTTCTCCCAATAATAGTAACAAATTGTTGATCACTAATAATAATCACTTAATTCTTAACAAGTCTACTGGTGTTTGCACGTTACGCTGGAAATTCTCAAAACTGTTAAAGACAATGTCTATGTTCATTCTCTCTCTGCTGGCTTAATATGAAAATCATAAGCAAACACATTTAAAAGATCAATGTTCGCCGAAGCTTGGCACGCTACATAAAGTAACAACTTACCATAAAGACAACCACAACACTTTGGTCTCTACATGTATCTGATCACAGGATTTTGCTAGGTTCACGGTTAGCAAATTCAAATTTTATGATGAAGGTAAATGTTCCCAATCAAAATTAAGATTACAGGTAACCTATGAGTAACTCTGTGTTTTACTGACAGAAGGGAAAACCTTGTACTTGTAACATACCTCACAGTGGGTGAGGTATAATGCATAGCTGTATTGACTTTGTCCACAAAGCTGGATTTTGACAAAACAGGTTTGCTTTGACCGTTGCTATATAAATGGTAGGGTAAAGATGATGTGGTGCGATGTGATGGGATTCCTCTACACAGGAGGAATACCTAAAATAATATTACAAGAGCAAGCTTCATGTTTTCCTTAATGTTTTCCTTCCCTTTTCAGCCTACACATCAATTTTTTCTCAGTGCTTTAAACAGCTGTGAATTCCAAAACTTCATTTTCTTGTTAAGGAAAATTTTTTTCCAGTCTTTCATTGCCTGTGGCAGGTACTAGAGCCTACTCTATTCTAATCTCAGAGATGCATACATTACCCTTGTGCCACCCAGGACTGTGCTGTACCGTATCTTCATCCTTCCATTTCTTCATACAACTTTCAACAGTCTTCCACTCGGCTCCGCCACTCATTTCTATCTTCTAGCTTTGTCCTGCTGCCTACCTGCCAGAATTTCCTGCTACCTCCACCACAGCATGACAATAAAAATTCATTCAAAAATCTCACACAAAAATGTACTTCTGAAGCAATAGGATTAAGATAGAAAACACATCATTATATAGTACCTATTCGTGCATCAAAGTGAACCTGACAAGGTCCTCCCCATGGCAGGCACTGCCACCAATATCAAAGGAAACTGGGACACATCAGTCCAAAACTATGCCCTTGCTAGTTACTTTGCTTCTCTTTTTTTTTTTTGTTCCCCAATAATTCTGCCTTCCACATCTTTCCTTGTCTCATCTGTCTGTTCTTCAGCCAAAAGAACTTCAGGGAGAGGATTTCTTTTCTTTCTACTGGCTACCCAAGATCCCTGAAAATGGGCTTCCTACACCCCAGGCAAGTCTCAGCTGGTCAATTTGCTCTCATTGAACTGTTCTCTCATACTTTCTTTGTTTTGGTTTTAAATAAAGTTCTTCCTGTCTTGTCCACAAAATCTTTGTTAAAATAGGCCCATTTGTACAAAAGCTTCAATTTCAAAAAAGATTCATTATTATCTTGATGAAAAGCCCATTATTAAAACATTTCTGGCCAAATCCCTTGATGAATCAAAACAATTAAGAAATTATACCAATAATTATTTTGAATGCTATTTATATTTTCTATCATTTTAAATATTTGGCTTTGTTTAGAATGGTGCAGTTGCTGAGTATCAAAACCTTGATCTTATTACTCTAGTCAACTACATAATTAATGCTTAATAGCACCTTTAGCTACTGGAATGATTAGCATTAACATACTAAAGTAGATGAAGCTTTCTGAAACAAGGAACATTTTTTGCAACACAAAATTCCATATTAACTCTTAGCTTAAAGAGACAGGGATATGTTTTACAAGCAGAATTTACACCTTATGAATATTTAAGAATGAAACATCCTGAGAAAGCTGTCTATTATTTGCAACAAGATTTTTTGATCATGCTGTAAATCTGATTTAAATAATAATAAAAAATGAGTATTGCATTTCTATTCTGACAGCTACACAAAACATTTATACATGCATCTTATCAGAAACCCTAAAAACACATAAAGTTCTTCATGTATCACTTGACAGCCAGTATATGGGGCAAAGAAAAGAGTACATTTGTCACATTACATTAATTTTGAATGCAAGAAACTCCTTTATTTACCTATTTCTTAGGACAGAATCTGACTCCATATAGTCCTCTAGAACACCTTTAAGTTTTCGCTCTGACTTTTCCAGCTCTTTTATTCTGAGGTCCAAATTCTCTTCTCCAGCACTGTTTGCTTGTTCATCAGGTATGCTTGCATCTTCTAATTCCTGGAAAATCCAGGAAGTATCAGTTTTAACATTGAAATTCAGAATATCAAATCCTTCATTACTGGGCATTTTAATACAGTAAGAAAATTCTTGTTCTCTCCCAGATGAAAGATCCATGACGAAAAAACCCCAGTTAGGTTCTCAATGCACTGCAGTCCAAGCATGCAATAAGAGTCTAAGCCTCTGATGATCAAATGAACAGTCCTTCTCGATTCTGAGCGCATTGATTATTTATGAGAGAGTCACATTTCATTAGCCCCAAAGTAATTCAGCATGTATGAAAGGAGTTGCAGTTCACAACATGAGATCCTCATAAGAGATTCAATTAGATTAATTCATTAAGGAATTAGGCATCCAAGTTTAGAAAAGAGGATAACTTTTTACTAAATAGAGGAGTTTGTAAAATTTACTGGTTTTCACAAAAAAAAATATCGTACTTATTTTGGATAAATGTATGATATTTTTATTGTTTCAAGACAGAAGATTAAAAAAGAGGATATGTCCTATTCGAAAGGCAATCTATGACTATTTCAGAGAAACATTCAGTATATTTAACTGATATTTTGGAATTCTGCATTCAATATTTTACTTAAAAGTCTACTTCATCTCTGACAGGTTATGAAACCATGTCTAAAAGGAAGTTTTAAACTTGGGCTTGGGAAGACAAGCTAAGTTTGGCACTTCTGATGCTTCATCCTGAAAACTACTGAGTACTTCAGCATAAAACCAGGAAAGCTGTTATGACCAACATCAGAAATGAAAAACTTATTGCCTCCTTCTTCACTTATACAGCTGGAACAGATAATTTAAAAGCTGTGTCACAAAAAGTGAAAATCAGGCCCAGCATCTTGCATGGACTGAATCTAGTCAGTTAACACACTGTACCTGTTCCCAGCTCTATAATAAATAGCAATATGCAATGGATAGTAGGGCTGGAACGATATACTCAGTTTTCCAAAACTACACATCCTGCTAGCTCAGTACAGAATAAAACCATCAAGAATGTCACGGAAAATGTCACCCAAATCAGCCAGTCTCTTTGAGAAAACTGTCCCATGTGAATTACAATGTAACAAAACACATTTAGAGAAAAAGAAAAAAAAAGAACACAAAACTGCTCATACCTTTTCTGCTTTGTAACAAGACCATCTCCTGTCTCTGCAGTGCGCTTACCGTTGCAGTCACATGCTCTGACCATCCCATATTTGTGCTTATAGTTTCATTTCCAAAGCAGTGATGAGCAAAACTATGTTTATGAGAAAAAAGAGTGTTTCTTTGCCAAGTGAATCACACTTTCCAATTTCTGTTCCTTCATCAGCACCTGGTTTGGTTATCTCAAGCTGTGATTATCTCCAGTTATGGTCTTTCTCTTCAGAATAATACCAAAACTCTTTCTTTTGCAGGGAAGACCTAATTTTTCCACATTCTGTCATCACACTGCTAAAAGCTTTAACTAAAACATGAAAAATCTCTATTTGAAAAAACACATTCTCTAAATGTCTGTTCCTTTTGAACAACACATTGTGAGCAATACATTCTTTTGGGAATCAAGTTTGCAAACTTCTGCATGATCCTTGTTCCAATTTAAATTGTGCTTTGTACCAGGAAACAGGGTTATTCAGACCCTCACACAAGCCACAGTTTGCTGCATCTGACTGAATTAATCTTGTGGAGTGCCTCAGCTCCTTCAGCAGGTAAATGATCTTGTCTGGTGATTCTTTGTGAAGAGTCCATCTCTGGTCTTACTTCAGAGCCTAAAAATTGTCTGAGAAAAGTGGCCTCTTTTGAGGCTGATTCCTGCACCTTCAACAGTGAGCTATTCAGTTATTATGACAAAACTTTTCCTCAGCTTTCTTTGTGCTGCCTTGATTGTTCTTTGCCTTATGTTATTTTTTTCAATCATAATTTCCACTTTGTCTGATGTATTATCGTGACCATCTTATTCCACTCTATGTTCATGATGGAGTTCAGTGTGCCCATGGGAGCAGACTTGTCTCTCTGTAGCTTTCTATCTAGCCCTTTTAACAGAAAGATGATTTTCAAGAAAATGTGAGGGAGGAGAAAGTTATCTTTTAATACTGTGCTTTTAATATTTTCATCTTGCTTCAATATTCCAAAAATAGTTAAAATTATATATTTCTTCATAACGTCTTTCCACCTCCGAAACTATTTGCTTTTCCCTCTTTGAAAGAAAACCCTAACCTTTTTGAGTTTTCTAACCATTTTTCCATCTTCAATAACTCTTTTCAACTTCCATTTTTTCAATCTGTGCTTCACCCAAAAATTTTCTTACAGTTCAGGTGGTCAATGTCCTTGTGTGTTTATCTACCTCTACTGGTTGAGGTTGTGCCATTTTGCTTCCTGGTAGCTAATGTCAACATTCTTTTATTTCACCTGGGAGGATACAGTGATTTCCAAGTGTTTATTTCCATCTATCTCTCTGCTTATCACATTCATCTTCACATCCATTTCTTCAAGTCCCTCTTTCTTCTTGAAGAGATAACTGAGCACAGTGCATCATGCATTCCCTTTTCCTGACCTCTCAGGCCACCTCAGGATCTTTCATTCTCCCAACGCTATCTTTACAGGTTATTGCCTTAATTTTCAAGAAATATTAAAAAAAAATCATTTCTTCCATGCAGTTCTTACCCACTTCAAAGTTTTCTTAGTTCAATCTACTATCTTGTCTTTCTCCAAAACTCATCTCTTCTCCATCTGTAGATTTCCAGCTTATGAATTTCATATTAATTTTACCACTGTGGGGTTCTAAATCTCTATTTGTTTCCAACTTTGAACAGTTTGTTGTTTGTTTTTTGTTTTTTTTTCCTGTCAGCTATTTACTATAGAGAACTTATTGTCAAACACTTAGCTTTTTTAGATAGATATTAAAAAGGAGATTCTGTTTCCTGGGTGAAATGCAAACCACGTTTCTCGAAAGCATGCAGTATGGAGACATAGATGTCAGTACTGTAAGAAAACCATGTGGTAGATAACAGTTCACATAGCAGCCAGTAATTGCACTTGTATTTTTTCCAGTGTTTGATTGGTGTGAGAGTGTAAATTCTGTTTAGATTTTTTCAGTGTTTATGATGTGCTGGTCCTTATTTGATTATCAAATCATTCCAGCTTGAAGCTATACCTTTAAAAAAAATCTCTAATTTAATTTCAAACATTTTGCAGCTTCAAGTATTATGCAAACTGTTTTATGAAAAAAAATGCACCAATTTAAAGCTGCTCAATAAATATGTTCTGTATTTTTGCACGTGGACTCAGCTGTTCACTCCATAGGTTCTTTTAATAGCCTGTATACAAAACAAAAACAAAACCCCAAAACAAGAAAAAATAAACAGACTGCTGAGCTTTTGATAGACAACATTAATTTAGAAATAAATGTTGGCATCCAGCCCTAAACCACAGACACCACGGTCTCTAAAAGTTTGATGTAAGGTTCTAAATAACAAGAACCAGAATTGCTATCAGAAAACCAGCTGGGTTGCCTTGAACTAATGAACAAGGTTCAGGAGTCCAACTATAGTTAAGTCTGTTAAAATAAGCTTTGCTGTGTTACATTAATCAGAAGCAGATCCACCTGGCATGATGAGTTAAAGGAAATTGCCCTCCACACTAGCACCACAGTATGATGTGCACTCCTAGAAAGGTGGGAGCTGAGTAGCTATCTGGCTACACAGCCGTTATCCCTGGGTTATCCCCTCAAATGGCTTGTTGCAACTATGAATTAAACTACTTCAGTAGTTAACAGGAACAGGTTATATCAGCACAATGTATTTTCTGGAGACTAATTACATGTGGTGACATTTGTTTAGTTGGTTTTGTTCTGGGGTTTTTTTCCAAATGGCACCCATAATACTATCAGCTATATCAGCATGGAAGCCTGTAGACCAGGCCTAAACCTTGAACTTGCAAAAATACTTTGAACTAACAGTATGTCAACTATGAATTGTTGCAACTACTTCAGTAGTTAACAGGAAGAATAGTAGGTTATATCAGCACAATGTATTTTCTGGAGACTAATTACATGTGGTGACATTTGTTTAGTTGGTTTTGTTCTGGGGTTTTTTTCCAAATGGCACCCATAATACTATCAGCTATATCAGCATGGAAGCCTGTAGACCAGGCCTAAACCTTGAACTTGCAAAAATACTTTGAACTAACAGTATGTCAAAATATTTTAAATGTAATTTTAAAAAGGCTGGTGCCCTCACTAAGTTTATAGAATGTTTATAAAGTGTCTCTAAACTTGGCCAGCATCCTTTTCAGAGTATTTAAAAATAAATATGTTCATCCAGATGTTAGGATTTCAAACAAGGACTGGAGTAAAAAAGCTGGATGAAACTCCCAAGGCAATTATTTGGTGACTTCCTTTAACGTTACTCTTTCAAATTTACACTAAGCAAAATAGCATCTGTCCTTTCTGATCTCTACAGAACAGAAAATTCAACTCAAACTGTGGTGAGGTTAATAGCATACCACAAGACTTCCCCTTTCTTCAATGACATCTCTACAAGCTTGATTTTTGACAAAATAAAGGAAATTTCAAAAGGAATACCTAAAATGCTATAAAAATATTGCTTAATTTCAACTAATTTTCAACATCCATCTAGCAATGAAAAGAAAGCTACTGCACTTGTAACAAATCAATAATACCCTGGATTACATTCCACCCATCTGCATCAACCATCATTTCATTGCAAAATATAAAACATATCCAGCACTGCCAGTAATGGAAGACAAGAGCCAGTTCCCAAGAGCATCAACAGAAAGATGATAGCTGAGTTTACCGGGAGCTGAGTAAACCCCCAAAAGAGCCCATGATAATACAGGTCTGATTTTGCAAAAGTACTTGTGATCTGGGCAGAAGAAAATACTGTTTCAAGCTTTATGCTGGGTGAATATAGTAGCTTTTTTGGGTGACTGCTTTCATGGTGCTTCTTCATCATACGATACTTTGTAGCAGTTTCAAAGGAGTTGATTAACTGCATCTCCTACTCTAAGAAGATTCCATGAACATAATACACAACAGATTCCAAGAAGAAAAGACATGGAAAAATTGTAAAGATTTGTAAAGCATTGTGTTTTTCAGTTTTAAAAATACAAACAAACAACAGAACAAAACAACAGCAACAAAAAAAGATTGTGTAAATATCCAATAGTTTTAAGCCATAGCTTAGTCCTCTAACAGTTAGCTTGTTGAGTTACCATCCTTACTGAAAGGCAAGTGTGCAATTTGTATTGCTCCAGGGAAGAGGGCTAGGACTGATTTTCTAATTGTATCTCCTTCTTGTTCTGTGTGAAATGTGAGCACTGCCGCTGTAGCTCCTGCTACAGCTGAAGAAATTCACTCTGTCTTTTGCATTGAGCTGAAAGGACCACGACACCGTGGAAAGGATAGTGGAAATGACAGCAGCATCTCAAGGGAAGACATGAAGGTTTCCCATCCTTGCCCCTTCCATGTTGCAGGGGCACGTGGAGGGTCAGTCACATTACAACCTTTACATTGCCTCATAAAAGGGAAATAAGGTTGTTATTTCCTAGGTTATTTCATGGTTTCAAGGATCTTGAGGAAGTAAAATGAACCCTTTTTTTGCATGGGTGGTGATACTTACAGGGCTTTTTAGAAAATAAAACTGAAAACCAGTGTTTGCTACCTCTCCATCCAGCATGACAGAAGGTAGGATCCTACAGCAATACGTGAACTTTTAAACAAAATGTACCTGCTCTGCAGTATTGAAAAGCACCCACTGCAGTTAGGGCAGTCAGTATCCCAGAATGCAACATTATTCCTCCTTGAAAACCCAAAGACCTTGTGCAGAAGTCTAGGAAAGTAACTGAAGGCCTCCAAGTCAGATTTTATAGGTGACTCTCTTCTGTGCGAGCAAAACCAGTACACCCTCCCCATGGCTTCAGGGTCTTATGAAGACAATTCTCAAAACATGGCAAAATCTAAGAGTTAAAAATTGAGTACAAAAATTATAAAGAATACCAACCACACGTCTTGGCTCAGTTGTGTCATCAAGGCCACAGAATGAATGCTAGTGAAAAAAACAAAAAAAGGAACAAAAACTATAACATAAGATCAAAAGAAAATGAGGAAAAAAGAAAAGAAAAAAGATGTAAGATATGTAATATGAAATCCAATGACATTACAGCAGTTAGTCGTACATCAGTATTAATTGAGTTTATCTGACAAAGAGACAGAGTATACCAATCTTACTCTAAAAAGGGGTAATGGTACAAAATTCAGTGTTTGAGGGCAGCTTTACAAATGGTAACATTTGTTGATTATGTCACTTCAGCAATATTAGGCTTGGCTTTGTGACTCAGTATGAGCAAGTACTTACACACTTTCCTGAAGAAAACTTTCCTGAACCAAGACTTGCCAAGCCAATGGCACAAACTAAATGCATCAGTGAGGAGAAAACCATGACATGTTTAAACAGCACTTGTTCCTTATGCATCAACTCGTAGAATAAAACTGAGATTTTACATTATTCTTTTGTATAGCCTTTAGAAGCAAGACAGCTTGCAGAAGAATCTATAGGGCAAAAATACCATCATCCTTATGTTGTGATTTGACAGAATTTTACATAAAAGTTAAAAATTGAATCCATTCCTAAAGGAACATAAAAAGCCATGCTCGTGGGACAGTAACTATAAGCAGTGCATTGCCCTTAGCTACAACCAGCAATGAAGCTCAGCTATAAACACTGCCCTTCCTTCTGAAGCATAAGGCTTCTCTCCACAAGAACTCATTGTGCTCAGTATCAGCGGCATGTAGGTGTCAGTGCACCCACTGACATATGAAACCTTCAGAAGAACAAAGAAGTAGATAATTCATTGATTCTCTGGCAACACAATCTTCCTTTGGGCAAATTCAGAATGGGATTTAATCCCAAGGAAAAAAAAATTAAAATGTAATACAGATGGAAGGAAGCCCTTGACCCACCCAGGAGTTGAAGGATAACAGAAAATGATGAAGCTTTTTTGAGGTCTCCTGCTAACGTAACGTTAAGGCAAAGAGAATGTTAATCATTTTAACTCATTACCAGCTTTCTGCTAAGCTTGTGATTAAGCTGTTTCTTTTCCAATACATTTCCCCATCCATTGCACTGATGAACCAGCACAGATAATGCTAACTTCCATTTTCAAAATTAGCAGTCTGCCTAATCCAATACCTACTCTGTAAATTGCAATGGCAATGCATTAAAGGCTTATGTTTTGGCAATAGCAACATCTAGAGATTTTGATGTTTTAGAATAGGTGGATAAATACTAATATTTGCAATAATTAACATGTAGAGATATCACCCATCCCTTAAGGTTTCTCTACCTTGAGGACTTAACTGTAGCATCTTAGACATCACTGGCTGTTAGGCAGGAACAGCTTCAGGTATAGAAACGGTCCAGGGCAGAAGAGGGTAAAGGCAGCAAAAGAACCCTTTAAGGGGTGGATACTGCCTGTGTTTCTCTGCTAGTGGAAACAGGGATCACTGCTTCCCTGATGGATGCGCACAGACTAGCCCCAGCCAGGGAGTAGTAGGAGTGATGTAAAGTGACAATGAGCACCAGCAGCAGACAGCCCAGCTCCTCACAGCTCTTTTCTTGGCTCTTCCACAAACCCAGCTGGATATCACAGTTCAAAAGGTGCAGGATGAGGTACTGCAGAGGGGATATAACTACTGCGGGAGCAAAAGGGGTCAAGGAATCTGCTGAGGGAATTGGAGTAGCTGCTAGAAGTGCAATACCCCCAGAGGGTGACACACAGAGGGCTACCACATCCTGAGACCAGATGAAGGGACAGTGAGATTAGTGAAGGCTGAGGAAGAAACCTTCCCGCATCCAGCGCACTGTTCCCCAAAGCCTCTCAGTTCAGCAACTCCACTGACCTCTTCCAACTCCCAGAGTCCTCCAAAAGCCTTCCTTTTGCTCTTTTACCCCATTCTGATCCCAGAAGAAAAAAAGAAAAAAAAAAAAAAAGGAAAAGGAAAAAAGAAAAAAAAAAGGAAAAAAGAGAGGGGGAAAAAGAGAGGAAAAAACCGGAAAAAAAAGAGGAAAAAAAGAGAGAGGAAAAACCCCACCACCCAATGACTGAAAACTCCACTAACTATTCCATTCAGCCCAGCACCGAGTTTAGGTAGGATTAAGTAGTCATATGTAGCAGAGAAAAGGAACCTGAGATGATGTGACTCATCTTGGGATCTAGGCACTGGTTTAGCCAAAGCAACATAACTAAAGCACTTTGCTAGGGCTTACAGAAAGCCCCATTGTCAGCCCATGCCCTGCAGAGCAGCCTAAACTCCACAGACCTGGGAAACACTTGAGCCCACAGTCCAGGAACCTTGTGCCATCTCTTGCTTGGGACCACAGTGCCTAAGCCTCAATCAGAGCTTCTTCAAAAGAGGAGAAAATTTGGATCCAGGATATTCCTTTGGAACTTGTTTCTATCTTAATGCAAGAAATATTTTATTTGTTTGCAGTGTTTGTCACATTCACCTCATTAACTTTGCTTTAATTTTCAGTACTTGCAAGTTTTGCAAAGCAATGTTATCCAAAGAACAGGGCTGAGCTAACCAGTTCTGTCAGAGACAAATCTTTATGTTGTTTCTTGATCAAAACCACAGCAAATCCTCCCCCTTCTAGTCCAGTGTCTTTCCAGACCCCTTGATTCCTCTCTGTATTTGATAGAAAACCCAGATAGTAAATAATTTTGAGCAGTTAGGGACAGAGCGTCATTTCATGCAGCAATGACTTGAACTCAAATTTTATCTTGTTTTAAAAATAGATTTTGTGATATTAGGTTAAGTACTATTAATGTCAATGTAACAGAGAAAAATAACTTATTATGGAAAAAAAATCCATTGGCATTGCCGAGGCATTTATTTACCTTTTCCTCAATTTCTTTGAGTTGCCTTTTTTGAAGTTCTATTTTATCTTCTAGTTCTCGAATTCGCTGGAACAGAAAAAGCAAAATAGACATTATTATATCTAATTAGAAAAGTATACAAATAAAAAAAATAAGAAATGGATTCAAATTAAGAGAACAAATGCCCATTATTAATGTAACACTTCCTTTACAGTTATATTAGGCACATCCATGGCAGGATTGCTCCACGTTTCCATGAAAACATGGCATTTTAAACAAGCTGCATATTGAGAACATCATGTTTAGTACCTGGAAGCCTAAACATCATCATTCATTAATCATAATATTAACATATGCACACAGTAAATTCCAAATAGCACCAAAATTCTTAGAGGTATAACACTACTTTCTCTGCAACTGGCAGAAGTTTTTCTACTTACCTAGACAGTCAGCAGATTATACTACTGTATTTCATTTTAACACTCTATTTTCCTTTCTGATAAAAAAATAACTATGCTTTTGGCATAGTCACACTATACCAGAAAAACAGAGTGCAGAGATTTCCAGTTCATCACCAAGACACCATCCAGAGATTCAGCTCCACCCTATTACCAGAGCCATCTCCCACCAGAGGCAGAGGGAACCTCTCCTTCAGCGCAGCTCTCTGTATTTTTAGGGATTTTCCTTATTCAGTTCCACAAGGGCTCTCCAAAAATATGACTGTTGTTGGGTCCATATATCCTATCTTATTTCTGTCCCCTTGTATCCTGTCTTATGTCTGTCCCCTTGTATCTTTTCTGTAAGTTATGCTGCTGCTTTTTTTTTAATTATTTTTAATTTTTCTGGGCTTCTACATTAAGATGACACATTTTATTACGCTTTTAGTATATGGTACTTGTTACAGATAAAGTATGTTCGTAATTTTTTTTTTTTTTTTTTTATAGGCAGAAACCTGGAATCTCCTACTAACAGTCACTGGGAATCAAGGAGCAACTTTATACTATCAGATTTTCTCAGGATTAACTCTCTGTCTGGCCTACAATAGCTAAGGTTATTAACAGTTTCTGAACTTTGAAAGAGAAGTTATCATCTCCTCTAATTTCTATGCCTAGGCCAATAAGATTAATGTAGCAGCTGCTGCACCACTCCCAAATTATTTTATTACTCCCAAATTGATTTGAACAATAGCGTCTCATTCAAAACAACATCCAATCATTACTTATAAACCTGTGCGATGAGCTGACATCGACAGTTGATCACCTGCATTCAATTCAAAGCGCCCAAATAGTGGGAAATGCTCCACACCCATGGTAGCCCAGGGTAGCTCCAGCAAGGCAGCAGCTGATCCAGTGACCGCATTGGTTTTGAGAACCACAGAATTTGGCTGGAAAATTGCAAATCTGACCTGAAGCTAACCCAAAGATGAGGTACAGCAACCCCTGCAGTTCACCTTGCCTAGGGCATACTACTTCCCACACAAATATTGTAGACAGGTCACAAGCAATAGTTTTGTTATTGTTGCTGCTGTTTTAAAAGAAAAGATTTTGCTTAAATGACTGGTTTGAATATTATGCAGTCAGAATAAGTCAATCAGAACCTCCACTGTATCATGCTGCATTGCTCACATCGCTCAGAGATTTCCCCAGATAATATAAAAGCACAAACCAGATGATCCTCATGTGACACAAGTGCACGCAGCTTTGCTGACAGTAACAAACGCCCCAAGCACTGCTGTATTAATTTCACTTGACTTCTATTACATTTGAACTGGTTTATACTTCATCTACCCCCTGCTCAAGGCATGCCTGTCTCTCAAGCGATCGTCTGCATAGCCTGTCTGTACCAGGCATACCACACGGGATGAGCGGCAGGCAGATGTAATCACCTCTGAGATCTCTGGCCCATCAGGTTACACTCCTGTTTCTCTCCCACTCGTTTCAGTTATGCTGATTCCTCCTTACAACCACATCCCAGATCTGAGTGACAGACTTCAGTCCTCTGGGGGTCCTGCTATGCTCTGTGATAAAATTTGACCACGGTGAGATAAGAGGAGAGAAGTAATATTTTTAAATACCATTTTCACCTTCAAGACTTATCATGTGAGATTTTTTTTTTTCCAATATCTGCTGAGAACTCACTCCCGGAAAAAAGAAAAACAAAAAAGCCCCCCCACATCTGGTGGCTTTCTCACCTCAGGGTTTACAGCAAGTGTTCTTTCATAAAAGAACATGTTAATTAGGATAAGATGGCTTTTTTTCAGATTTGGGAATTCTGTTAATTAAGTAAAAATTGAGATGTTATTATTCCCTTATGAATTTTTAATCTTTTCAAAAGATTACAGCTATTCAGCTGTTCTCTCCAGCTATTCAGAAAACCTCTAAAAAAAAGGGCTGAGGCTACTGTTTTCCAGTTCCCACCCATAACCCATCATAATTGGTGAACTTTGTGAGATGACACATAGGGAATAGTTTTGAGGTGCAGAAATATACACTTTCCTAAAAATCAGTTTAAATACAAAGACAACAATTGCAATTGAAAGGGAATATGCATAGCATTCAATTTCCTAGCAGTGAAAATCTACAAAAAATCCTTGAAACAACTAGATGTATGTCAGTAAGGCATATATATACATATATATAGGGTGGATATAGTCTGTAGGGCAGATATTTACATGTGTACATGTGTTTATGTAGACCTGTTCTGGACTTGCCACCTAATAAAATGCCAAAGACAGGTGACTAGTGTTTACATAGCTAGTATTCCCCTTATGTGAGCGGAAATCACAATGACAGAAGACTTAGCTGCAAATGAGTAAGATCTCGTAAACAACTTCTTTACTACAGAAATTAAGAGTTCAAACCTAGACAGGTCAGAATTTGTTCTAAAACACAATCATGGGCTGGAATTTTCCATCAGGTGTCAAAGCTTGGGGCTGGTTACGTCTACTTGTTTACTTGCTTTCCCCTGGAGTATTGCAGGGAGGATTATCCAGGAGGATGAAGTGGGCGTAGCTATTCCCATCAATATCCTCTGATTGCACAGGGTCAGAACTGGAAGGTAACCAGCCTAGCTCAGCTATTTATATATCCTGAAAAATCTGATTTAACTCATTTATTGCCATTTAACTGCAGAGATGGCCTTAAAAATATATACATATATATATGAAATACATTGGCAGGAAAAAACCAGATTTACATCTGCAGACAGTATTTAACACATAAAAATAATTCTTTTCCCCCACTGGACCCATCTGCATTTACAGTATTATCTTGATCATACAAAGATAACAATTTCTAAAATATGACTTTAAAAAATACATGTAAGCTACATCCAATAATCCTAGCTTTAACAAAAAAAGTATCCTCTAGAAGTAGCAAGAGATGTTCCTCAGTCAAAGGTTATATTAAACTACTGAAAAGGAAATTACACTAAAATTACACATACTAGTTAAGACCAAAGACAAGACTGCTTGAGATTCAGTATAAGCATTTACGTCTTCATCTACTGTTCCTTTTATTTGCAAGAATTAGCAATTAAGAAGCTGTGGACTCACTCTCAGGTTTTCAACACTTGATTAGATGCTTTCAGTGAATTCTGATTTGTTTGTGTTTGCAAAAGCATAACTATGACAACAAATCACGCAGAACTATTTTATTGTTATCAAGAAATTCTACCCACTTCCATACTTCAGGGCATAAATTGATGATCAGTAAGTTGAGCTTTTCCGACAATGTCATATAGAGTTATAACAGTCGTGCTATGAAAGACGCATTCAGCTCTGTCCTTGGCAAGGCTCGCAGGAACCTTGCAGGGTAAATCCAATGCATTTTCAACTGCACAAAAAACTATGTGAGGAAGCAACAAAATCTACTATATCTTGCTCTCAAAACATTGGTAAGTCTTGGTTAAGAAGAAAACCACAGGTTGTTCTTTTGTTCATTATCTTTTTTTTAAAAAGGGAGAGATAGAAGATATGGATACAAACCCTAAAACCAGCACAGTGTTGATGTTTCCTTTAAACCCCTAGCGATGGTCACGGTCCAAGCAAGGATTAGGGACAAAGCGGTGTTCTGCTGGGTTCTAGCAATTCCTGTGTTCCTATGGTTAGCAGCTGCCCCTCACTCACATGAGTGCACCTTTTTGGGGCTGAGAGGATTCAGGAGAATAACAGTGTGTTGTCAAATCATGGGGCCATACAAAAGAATTACTGTGGGCAAACAGAGAGCCACAGTCAGACAAAAGCAGCGCAATGAGAATGCAACTATGAAAGGGAAGAGCGCAAACGTTAGGGACGTGGATTCTTAACACTGCCCACCTCACCCGCATTCAAAACCAACCTGCCAAAATAATGAATACTAATTTGTCATTGATCTTATTACAACAGCAAATAAAACCTCACAAAACTTCTGGATGATGGATAGGCAGATTTGTGAATAGTCCCTGTTACTGCCTGCACCCACATGGAGCTCCCCTGAGTTTTGGAAAGAGGGATGCACGAGGATCCATTTCAGTACGGCAGGCACCTACTTGATAGATAAATCATCCTTCCTCTAGCAATGAAGCTTGCTGCCACTTCTGAGCAAGCACTTGTGAGCAGCCAGAGAGCAGCCGGGGCTGCAAGGGCCCTACTGCTGTGCTGAGGTAACAGCAGATGGCTCTGCCGGCCAAGCGACGGCTGGAACTTCAGCTCCATCAGGAATCGGGCTCAGCTGTGAAATCCATTTGTGTTTCCAGACAGGTACAGAACAACGATGCTAGAGATGTACAACATGTGCCTTACTTATTACTTAACTGCAATCTGAACAGACTTTTAAGTTCCATTATAAATTTTTTCTTAATAGTAGTTATTTATACATTACATGTACAAAGGTAGGTGGGCACAGCTATAACCCTAGCAGACAGCCTAGAAACGCTAACAGTTAGGTAGGAGAGAGAACATCCAGAAAGTTAAGGCAACTAAAGCATACATTGCCTTTGGAAGTCTATAGCACGAAGACAGGCATATGACTAAAGCACCCCTAACACGGTACTATTTACCACCTCTCTGAACACAGCCGTAAAAGGGGAGTTTTCCATCAGTCATTTCC